GGTCTGTCTGCGTGTTGAGTTTCTCGTATTTCAGGGGTAGGTTTTTGATTGCTTTCACCCGGGTGCCTGCGCTTGATGTGAATGTTAGCATGGTAAATACTTGTCTAACATCCACCACCTCGTCTATGCTGGCTCCAGGAAACAGTTGGTCGTTGCTGGAGGGGACAGGGTGCACGGTCCCAGCGAAAGTGCTAGAGTTAAAGAGTGGTTCCATCCAGTGTGGAACCGGCTACGGACTAGCCACCGCCTTTTGTATGTCTGATACGCATGATTCTCCACGTAGACGAACAGGAACGCTGCCGCTGTATATGTTGGAAGAGTGTTGGCAGGCTCTGTTAATGACATTTGGCTCCCATCCACATGACTCCCGGTCTTAATTCCTCCGGGTTTAGACTGGATATAGGGCGTGTGGATGGAGCTGTGGGTGATGCAGCGCAAGCCACGCATGGTCGCCCTGCAGGCGCAGGCATCCTGTGGATGTTTTATGGAAGCCACAGTGACAGGAAAATGCGGAACTGGATGCCGCCAACCAGATATCACTGGCGGCTTCATGAAGCTCTAATTGAAAGTAAGCATGGCTTAAATGAAATTTAGTAAACATATGGCCACCTGACACAATTGTGTACACGTCATCAATCCGCGAAATAGGGTAGTGTTTAGACGCCACAGCCTGGCTAAATAAATTGATTATTCTCGACAACGCGAGGCACGCCTGTACAGACATGATCATGGTAAGAGGACAACGAGGAATCGGGAAGCGCATAAGTATAGAGCACGTTTGCCATAACAGTGAATGTATTTATGTGAGAGTATATTTTCGAACACAAATACGGACGGCGCCATTTGGGTTTGGCTCTGAATTGATCGGCGGGCCCCAAGGTGAATGGTGTACAGACGTTGATATTCCACCTTTTGCACGCCGTCTAACGGAAGTTTCGGACGGATAGCAAAAGGTAAGCTCCTTGCTTTGAAAAATTTCGTCTAGGCTTTCGGTCTGATATTGAACAAAATATTGAAATAACGCAAAATACCCGGCAAAATTTCATCAAACACATAAGCATTATTAAAAATGAAGGGACGTCTGGTATATGATCCACTGTTTAAACGGTTTGTAGTAGTTCCTGTGTTCCTATGTTTGAGCCAGTTTCTGTGAAGAGATTTCGGGCCATCAGTGCTAACAACAAGTAATGGATGGACAGAAGTGTCGGCCCTACGAATAAACCTTACTTGACACATCCCCAGTACATCAAGCGATTCACCAGTGTAAGAAGGTAAAGTATAATGGGTCGCGCAGTGTACGATTATTGCCTGTGACTGGGGCTCCGTATCGATTACTAGGTACATAGGTTGGTCTTCTTTCTCCAACTCCACAGCTCACGGAGGCATTCCGCGCACCAGCGATGTGGTAGTATATGAAATCATTGGAATTCTCTACTGTTCGGGCGGTATTTGGTGGAGAATAAGTTACGTAACGTGAAAGCACTGTTGTGCGGCAAATACGCGAAAGATGTCCGACCTTGCGGCAGTTGTAGCACGTTGACTGTTGGTGTCTACAATCAGTTATCCTTCATGTCATTTTTTCACAAGAGTAGCACAATCAACGTTTGGTCGCATGGACCACATCGGAGGGGTGATCGTGTTGTTAATGAAATGACCATTGAACCACATTTTCTCTCAGCCTCACTAACATGCAACCGGCTTCCCAAGTAAGCTTGCTTTCGTCTTCCGAGATTAGGCATTCTTGGCCTTGCGGTCGAGAAAGTCAACCAGAAAATATTGGATAGCCACGATCTCTTTAAACTTGTCATTCAGCTCTAAAACTAAAGATGTATCCTTTATAGTAAACGAGCCATGTCACCTTGCCATAAATGGTCCGCAGCGCATACTCCTTCCCGGGAAATTCTTTACCAACCAGAATTTAAAAGGTAGGTCGTGAAGACGTTACCAAGTATATGCAGTTGTAGTATTCTTAGTCAGGTAACAAATATCCGCAAATAGAAGTCAAAAATTGTGCAGAATCACTTATTGTTAAATTTAGGTGCAAGAGAATTACCAAGGTAGACATCGGTTGAGCACTGAAATTAAACACGTAGCTGTGTAGCGCAGTAACTCCAGTCAATCGCAGGTAGTTACAGGCGGTCAGGTATTCAGTAGCAAGCACTGGCTAATATAACACGGATTGACATGGTGAACTAGCTAGCGCACACTGTAGAACCAGACCGTCACGTGCAAGCTAACAAGCATGAATCACCGTAGGTATGCATATGCGCCGGAATTCGGCTGCTAACTTAGCCGTACAAACTATGATAGCATCTTAGGAATAACAATACGTCGCAATAGCAATACGTCGCGCAACAAGCAGAAGTCACGTGTTAAATTCCGCACCTAATCATCAGCCCTCGGTAGCTCAGTGGTAGAGCAACGGACCGGAAATTCGTGGACCGGGGTTCGATTCCCCGTCGAGGCAGATTTTCGTGTGGAGTTTAATCGTGACTTCTACCCTCTACGAAATAACAAAAGCGCCAAAAATTTAAATCTGTTCATCTGTCGCTTGCTATGAGTTCGCAACAGTCATACAGTTGAAATGAAGAGAACGAGGTTCGCAAGCTGCTAAAGGAAATGATATTGAAGGAATGCCTTGGGGGCAAGAGAAATATGCTCAAGGAATTGACTCCGTGCTTTCACTTTCTTGACAAGATCATCGCTCAAAAGAGATCTAGAGTTAAAGCTAATTGCACAGAGTAAGAGGTAGTATTTCCCACTGGAGCCTTTGAAATGTGCACATTTGAGAGTCAGTAGCTGTATGACAAGAGCTGAAGCCGGAATCATGTATCAAATGGTGGTATATGACTACCTGCAGCCCCCGATTCGCGTTCCGCCTAGCCTCTGCTACGAAAGTGCTCTCTTCCGAATGGTGGTGGAACATTTGCAATCAAAATGCTCAGCTCAGCAAAAGCCAACTTGAGGTACCAGTAACTTTGAACAAGGGCCATGTTCTGCTACAAGAATGCTATTCTGCGCCAGATTGCCCCGATGGTGGGTTCAAGAGGTCCAACTAACAAGCCTAGACAAGACAGGTGAAATGCTCATTGAAGTATTCGGTCTAACGCCTAAGTCGATGCAGATGAAAGCGAATCGATGGTTCCATATTCTTACACTAGCAAAAGCTCCACTTAGAAAAGTGCACCGGACTTATCGGAACAAAACACAGCCGTTTTATATGGCTGTGGACTCTAGTTCGTGGGTCCTCAATATATACCAACAATGTCGGTTAACCCAAAGGTTCCCGGTCACTTCGAATTCCCGAGAGTTGCGGATATTTTGAAAGGGACCGCGAAGTGAAACCAGCTGCAGTTAGTGTTTAGATTCAGTCTCATGCTGCTGCGATTTGAAGCGTGAGTATGAGACGAGCAAGCATACCTTGCCTAAGCCGGAAAATGAGCAGTAAGTATTTCTGTATAAATCGCTAACTGTGATCTTATGACATCTGTCTAAAAGCACGGTCTGAGCCGTAAGAAAAAAGGATGGTGGGCAGAAAAAATAGGACTGAAGTAACCGTGGGTCTAGATTAGTAATAATAAAGTGAAATAGAAACGTATGGCTTGCGAATCAGTAAAGAGACTCGCGGATTCAGTTCAAACAGTATTAACTCGTTTAACTGTGTAACATGTAGTGCGTTAAAGCAAAGCCTCCGGATATTGCGCTATATGAATGGATGCTTATAAATAAACGGAAATTTATATAAAAAAGGCCAATAAAATGTAGAACAGGTAGTCCATCGAGTAATTCATTGACTCCAAATGCACTCAGCTGTAGAAAGCTGTCCGAGCAATGTGGCTACAAATGTGAAATACTTACATTGGATGTTAACCAGAATAGAGCAGAAAGGGAATAATTAATGGTGTACCTAGGAGAGAGGTGATGAAATGAAATGAAATGTGTCAGCTTATACACCGTAACGACGCTTCGCTGCCGCGCGACCACCACCAGTCGCGCGCGGGCTGAGTATACCGCGAGGACGCCCACCCCTACGCGGATTCGAACCGGTGACCTTATGGTTGGAAAGCAAACGTGCCAACCACTCGGCCACCGGCCGACGTGAGAGAGGTGATACCCTCCGGTTACCAGCTCTTACAAAGTGGGCTCACAGGAGATTTCCAACTTATGGCCTCCGACTTATAGATTTGACTCCCGAAAACAGGGTCAAATAGGGACAGTTTGGGGGATTCCACCGACAGCATTCGACTCAATAACCTGTTCCACAAGGCAACAAACCCAGTCAGGATGAGTGTCCTCAGAATCCCCTTGGATCTGCTGAAGATCGATTAGATGCGGTTTCGCAGGATTCAGAACAGTTCATGCAGGTTTTGTGACTGCATCACAAGATGTGCCTGTGGTCAAGCGAAGGTGACTTTTAACTGCTTTGCACATTGCTGACTGAGGGCTGTCTGGCTCGAGCTAGGTATGGTGCTCTCACATCGTTGGTGACATCCTAAGTAGACGTAGTCTACGGCAATCGAGCTGAACGCATGATCAGCGGTGCACGGTCGACTCACAAGATCAATTTTTCTAGGTATCCCGATTCATTACGGGGACGGGTTGAAATAGTATCTACCCAACTCAAAACTCCTGTACGACCTGACATGGGTAGCACTTGGAAGGTGGCATCAGGTGTAGTTCGTTGGATACGCACTCCATGCTATAGTCTAGTTATAATGGTGAAACATAACAGCGTTAGAACTTAATCTGGTGACGGATCGTGAGCAACATGAGACCTGAATGCAATCTGTATAACGAATAACAAAAATGAGCACCTGGTGTTTATGAGGAGAGGATGGAATATTTGAACGACAGTTAAGAAACAGTATGAGTTGAGAACAGCTTATTTGGAAACTGCATTTCTCAATAGGAAGGGCACATACATTGCTCTTTTGGGTAATTGATTCGTTAATGGCAGGTTGAAGCATAGCTTAAGGGGCAAAAGAACAGAGCACAGTGTATGGGACCAACAAATCCGCATAAAAGACATGTGTCTAGGGTGGTCACAAGAGATGACAAGGAGCAGGAGTATTTGATGAACTGAATAACCGCACAGTTAAAAGCGCATGAGTGGGTAAAACAAAACCACGAATAGCCACTCGTAAACGCTGAACAAACAAGCACAGACTGCGTGGAGCATGGGGGAGATCGGAAGAATCCACAGTGTGTCCACAGTTGAGAGCAGCCAAAATGAAATCCAACAAAGTCGGAGGAATGGACAAGGAGGAAAAGCTACGGCGCTGACGGCTCCAGCATAATGCGTTAGTGCAAGGGGGATGGAGAACAAGTGGAATCAGACCTGAGTGCACAACTCACATTCAGGGAAGTGGTTGACTGGTCAAAAAAGCAAATTAGATCTATTACAATGAGATGGACAGGGAACAAGGAGTGACTTCATGGCGAACGGTCAAGCTCCCCAGCAAATTCATCGCTGCTGTCAGCAATGGTTGGTACATCCTCGTCATCACTGCTGATGATGTTAGACATAGTACCCCCATGAAAACGGTGAGGTTCAGTGAGGGAAAAATTCGTACATTCGCTAAAATTGTGTACGGAACTTTGATTAGACAAACGCGAAGGGTCACGCAGAGTTTCGCTTGCATTTCGAACGGAACCCCCCGCGGTGTTAGATAAGTCTCGATAAGAACATGGAGCAGATTGATCATCCACTGAGTCGGAATTAAATGTTGAGGATATCATGAGCATCTCGCGCAATCCCTCATTCTCGGATCGCAAACGTTGCAGCTCGACCTCCAGTTCAGATGTGTAAGCATCGCCATGGTCACAAACATCCTTTGCGATGGCTGCCAAGGTGGAGATCCTCTCAGTAAAGACCTCACTGGGTACAGCAGGTAAATGCGAAGGATCGGCTGAAGTGACAACGTGAGCGTCGTTGGTCAACTCAGCTGTGACGAGATTCGTATCTGACGTACCGATGGGTTGGAGAGAAGGACTCTGATCGATCTGAGTAGATTTTGACTGGAGCATCACCTCGAGATGGTTGGCGTGCATCATCTTGGACATCTAGCACAGAAAGTAAGAAAAAAAACTAGCAGATCAATATTAGAAGGAGTAGAGAACGGCTAAAATTCCCTGATCAGAACAAGCACCTTATACTAACAATCTTCGTATTTCAAATAAAAAGGTAAACGGGTATCAAACCATCGACTATGGAAAAGGCTTCGGGAAGTAAACGGTTTGAGAGGAAGAGTGATAAAGCACAAGGCTCTGCGGTTAACATTCCAAGGTACCGCACATGACCTGAAAATCGTTCCTAACCCTTTAGCTCAGAAAACATCCGCACAGATATCCAGCTCAATGATGAGCACATGGTACAGTGTGCGTCCGAGTGTGGGCGTTGCAATTGTAGACGCACCGGCAAACATCGGCTGGACGCGTTAAGTAGAGAAAACACTTAGAACTAGTGCATCGGTATACTCATGGACCCTTAGCAGCAACAAATGACCAGATGAGTCAGGAGGAGAAGTAAGCGTTGTCGATAATTGAGAAGTCAAAGTTCATCCGAACTGTCTGCTGTCAAGATCTATGAGATTAGAAGTGGTTTGGTACCCTGCATCAATGGAAATAACGTAATGAGCAAATACTGGTATATGTACGCACTCCTTATGGTTTCGCAAGTAAAAAAGATAACAAAACCACCACCACTACCAACAGTGTGGGACGGGTTACGGACAAGCCGCTATTTTGAACGACTGGTATGTATGCTACCCCCAATCCAAATGGATTATGTGTATGTTGAAGGAATGTGGGCCGATCCTGAAGTAACCAATACTTCCCAGTCCTATTCCCCTGAGGTTACAGTGGATATGGAGTGGGTGGTGCAGCACAGGCCACTCATGACACATCTTTAGATGAAGGCGTCCCATGGCTGTTCGTAATCAGTGGCAGGTAAACCCGGAGACGGATGCCACTAACCACACAGCAATACAAAAGTGCGAACCGATTAGGCTGGGACAGAGGCAAGAGGCAGTTATGATGCCAATATATCCATGGCATCTCGACACTGACAAACAACAGCTTGATTCGACCAGTCAAATTGGCCACAACGAGACGTAGGAGGAAGGCGCCGATATAGTTCAACACGATTTTGAGCGTTAATTTTGTGTCAAAGTGATGTCAGGTGGCCAGTATATGTTTCTCTATGATGGGCAAGGGTTGCTTTCGTGAGCACGGGGCATGAGGAATAGAGGAGAAGGTGAAATTTTCTTGCCGGACCCATTTTGAAATGTGTTCCCTGATTCTGGAGTTTATCACCCCATCGGTTCTTCCGGCGCAGCATGTTTCGCAGTTGTACGACGATCGCTAAAGCCAGTGAAAAATAGTGACGATTGGTTGTCTCCTTCTGTATGGGCTGACATGCCCCCGATTCAGGCTATTATACAACAGTCACTGGAAGTGGTGTATCCGTCCACGTGCCTCGGTGCTTGTCCTAACCAGTGGTCACATCACTGATGAGGTTATGGCAAGTATCAGCAAAATGCGTTTAGTTTTTCAAAATCTCAATCAACTATGAGGTGGTGTGGTGGTGCCAGCTTATACGCCGTAACGGCGCTTCGTTGCCGCGCGACCACCACCAGTCGCGCGCGGGCTGAGTATACCGCGAGGACGCCCACCCCTACGCGGATTCGAACCGGTGACCTTATGGTTGCAAAGCAAACGTGCAGACCACTCGGCCACCGGCCGACTATGAAGACGGTGGGATATCGGCCAACTAATCGAAGTTGAGGTGCATGACGCTGCGACAAGGCCAGCGCTACTAGGTGGATACGATTTGGCCACTTCACGCTGAAAACGTCAAAAAACTGACAGTCTATGGAAACCTGTGATTGCGGTGATGCGCGAATCGAATGCGAATAACAAGCGAGAAATGTTGAGGTCCGCCAGCTGGTTTTTGACAAAAATCCTGTAATATTTCCATGGGGTTTCCGCAAAAGTCGAGTCAGTTAAACTGGTTAGGTCCCTCGTACCGCCACTGATTACCTTCCTCGGTGGGCATGATATGATGCCGTTGCGTCTAGCTGGGCGGAACAGTGAGGTGGAAAGTTAATAACGTGGCAGAAAGGTGCGTGCTATATACATGGATGGGCCATATCAGTGGTTGGAGACACTACTGGAAATGGCACAGTGGCGAAGTCGGTCGTACTTCTGCATTCGGTTCCCAACATCCGGTTGTTAATTTTCCATCGCAACTGACTTCAAACACTTCGTTCTCACTCCTTTTTCGTGTCCCGTTTGCGTCCGACCATTTTTCTCACCTTTTCCATTTATTGTTGCCTTGGCGACACGAGTCACTGCAACTGGATTTCCTGTACTTCAGTGTCCGGATCGTAATTATCGAGCCCCAATTCACCTTGTGGGAGGTCACTGGTGTATGATCTACTCTCCCGGCTATGGGGTTTTGACTATGGTCACCTAGTATCAGATCAAAGTGAAACTGACAAAGTGCAGGCTGGTTATCAGTACACAGAGATCTTAATGAAACTAGTTTGACTGTGAATAGTGAGTACGTCGAAATCGACATAAACGTTCCAAAATTTCGGTGGTCACCTTTAAATGAACGTGTGTCTGACAGCCACGAAAAGCGGTGTGCACTGCTGACAAATAGAACAGTACAATCAAGTTCGCTAAGCGTGTGCAAAAGTGACTTTGTCAGCATGTTGCTGATTTCGGTGCTGCTGAGACAATACGAAGTTCGCGAATCTATCAGTTTTATTCTCCCTATCGCCTTACTCGGGCCAGAAACAGTAAAACGCCACCTAAAATGGATACCCGATGCATCTGTAGTTAAATTTTGCGAGGCCTAATCGACAAGCCGGAACGAGCAAATTAGTGAGCTTGTTGCGTGAAAAAAAGTATGCAAAATATCTAACCCCGCAAAGATAGAAATTGGCTAACAGGCCCAGACGGGGGTAACCAGACAATCGCGTAAAACCAGAAACGTACAAGTCCGCACACGACGTGATCGCTTCATATCGTGCTCCACGTATTTTGGCATTTGCTCCGTAACCTTTTGCTGCACGTCGCTGGATTTACACCTTTTGTGCTGAGTTGACGAGCTCCATCTAATGAAAGCATTTTTTTTCTGGAATAATTTACAACGGCGATTGTTTCTACCACATTTACAAATTTGGGCAACTTTTCGCCTTTATGCCATCGTGAAATTTCGCGGAGTTTCAATCACCCACCGATAGGAGACTCTCAACTTTCGATTAAGTATTCACTCATCTCATTCCGTCATTGTTATAGTTACAAAGAAAACTACGCTCCCCCTCATCTCAGGGTTGCAGCCGTCAACTTTCGCCGCTCCCGACTTCAACCGGTGCGACCCATCAACCTATCCAGAACGATAATTGCCTACACCAGACGCCTTACCCGTGATCGTATGACACACGGAAGCAACACAGGTACCTTGAAAGGAAGTATACTCTTCTAAATAATCATGTGCTAAGGTAGTAAAAGTTGACTTGACATACACTAATTGCATTAGCCGGTAGCATTTGAAGTCAGTCACAGTCTGTCGAACCGATTGAAAAAAATATAAAACGCCGGGCTCACTTTGGTTCTGTACGGCGAATTCACTTGTGAAATGCGTACTAGCATTAACACGGAAGTAAGATAGCCTAGCCACAGAAAATGAAGATTGTTTAACTGCGAAAATTGCTTCGCTCGAGCGACAATAGCACAGCTAGCATCTCATCCGTCTCCTCTAATTGATACCTCGCAACTAAGAAAAACGGCCAGGCGTCCGTACGGCCAAGAAGTACCAGAAACCTTGGGAACCACGAATCAAGTTGTCGTCGCGAACGATAGGAGCATGCTCAGTGCCACCGCCCAGATGCTCTTATCCAATGTATCGACTGATACAACATCAGTAACACCCACCGACCGATAGAAGTATGCCTAACCCCACCGTCCACATCCTCTTATCCAATCTACTGACTGATGCGACATCGGTAACGCTGACTCTTCCGATTGACCAAAGAAATCCGAAGCGCTATAAAGACCGACCCACCTATGCAACTGTTGCTGCTCGATAGAAACAAAATGCGACCTCAGTAGCCTCACCCAGTACAGTCGCAAAACGGGTCAAGGACAGTTGCAACCTGCAGTGAGGTCACTAAATCGCTCGATAAATGTGATTTTCACATCACTGAAGACCAACCGGAACGACGGGGCCTTAACCCGTATATACGCCAACGTTCCTGACTCTAAGGCAAACTTCTTAAGGGGTGAACCGCAGGATGATTTAAAGCAATGGAATTTCCTTTGTGATAGGATCAAAATTCAACCCATACCGATTAATATAATGCGTATCCCTAGACATACAACTTCGATTCATTACGGGGAGTCCCGGCTAGTGCAAGCAACATTGGGATCCACAGATGATATCGAGATGATGCTTTTGTCGGCATACCGCATGCGGACTGAAGACAGTGGGGTACGCATATTTTCGGATGTTCTATGGAGCGAACACCAGCAAGACGAAAGTACTTCAAACGACTAGTACACCGAGAGAAGCAAAAGAGTCATGTTCATTCATGGCATGTCAGAGCTACCGGCATCTAACGACGAGAAAGCCCATGCGCATGACCTGGAAGAATGGTCTTATATCCGTGATTCTCTGTGCTAGTGACGTCATACTTCAATCGACTGCACGGTTACTCGTGTCCCTTCACTAGAAAGGCCGTGGCCCTAGGATACTGAAACTGACAGTGCAATCACAAGATATTACGTCGAAGTTAATCCGCAGCTGGCAGTTACTACGCAATATACTTCCCTCGGAACTACGACTGAAGACAGCAGTTGAAGAACCGTAGCCAATCGCTGTCCTCGCGTAAACGACACCACCCACGACCCAACATAACCACAACAGCGATTGAGAAAACTGTGCACTGAACCGTAGCTATCTAGAAAGCTACCGATGAACCACAGACTGCAGGTGCAAATGAGACTAAAATCAGATTGCGTTTGTATCGAGATTTGGCAAGTCACGCAAAAAACGATTAGGTGCTGACCTCTCATCGGTCGGCAAAAATACACCTCCATCATATGCCCCCAGTCAAGAGCTTTTGGCATAAAAGTAGCTTACCTGTACGTACACTAATGACCAAGTCTCAGTAAACTTTCCGAAGTGCGACTGCGTCAGGGATCAAAGGCCTGTGACCTCGTCGTTACAACGGAGACATGGTTACGCCCCGATATAAGTGAAGTCGAGATCGCACTGCCATGCATGTCTGTTGGTCGGCACGCGACCGACCCAGCAAAGGTGGAGGGATGGCTCTGCACTTCCGCAGTGAAATCCAATATGAGCCCACAGAGTATCCGGTCAGTACGGTACAGGATTCCCTTTGGTGCCGTCCACGTTTGAAAGGCAACGATGGCTGCTTGATGGCGGTCGTTTACCGCCATCCCTAATCCATGCCCGATGGACTTTTTTCTGGCATGCGAACTAAGGCGATTGATAAAAAAGGATTACAGTCAGATTCTCATTATTGGAGATTTCAACATCCACGCCTAGGAACCTCAAGGCGCTTCTTGAGAGCAGTTTAAGGCAAATCTACAAGAGTTTGTCCCTAGTTTCCCGTTGTGTGGTCACATCAACACTCCCACCCGATTCCGATAAAAAGATAAGCCGTCTATACTAGATCAGATATTCATCAACGAAGGACTGATGATCGAGAGGGTAATTGTCCTATTGGACCATAGCGATCATACGGTCCTACTTTTCAAATACATTTGCTATGCAGAATATCCCGTGCAAATGGCCGACGCAACGCGAATGTATATTCGCAACGGCATATTAGCTCGACTAGGTGAAACAAGCAATTGGACTTTTCTGGCAGACGAGGCACCGGCTAGCGCATGGGAACATTTCGTCAGCCAGTTTAACACTGGTCGCAGAAGCGTCAGCTACTGAGACCACGCACCCGAGAAACGTGGTCTCGTCTGTGCGAAGCAGGACACGCAAGCATATAACAGTGCGAAACTCAGCCTGGCAAACTCTATCGAACACTGAGACCTGGATGGCCTATGCAACCCAACGAACTATTGTATTCAGCTTGCTCACGAGGATAGAATGGCGTACCAGCAGAAGTTGGCAGTGCGTATGGCCTCAAACCACAAGCCTCTGTATCAACACATCAACAGTCTACGTAAAGTGAAACGGGGAATTCCTCTTCTTCAAACAGCGGACGAACCCACACGGACACCGAAGGAGGCGGCGAATACCCTGCGCCTACAATATGCTGCAACATTTCAGTGCGATCACTGGCCACCAAACCCTATGACAAGGGTTGCCTCACCCCCAAAACACTCACATATGCTTCACGACAGAAGTTGTATTAAAAAACTACTGAGTAAGCGCAAGTACATCTCTCCTGGAGTTGATAATATACACATAAAATCGCTAGCCGCGGTGAGACAAAGTTTAGCTAAGCCTTTGGCTCGATTCTTTCAACACGGTTTTGACGAAATGTACGTGCCCGAAATGTGGAAACACGGGATGATTACTCCTATTCACAAGGGAGGTAGTGGTTCCGATCAATCAAACTACTGTCCCGTAATCCTACTACAAATAATTTCAAAGAGCATGAAAGCTGTTATTTCTTATGTGCTAACGGTCTACTTGGAAGAAAGTAACTACCTTGCACCGGAACAGCATGGTTTCCGACGAAATCGCCAGTGCACTACAAATCTATTACTAGCAAGATCCAGCTGGACCGAGGCAGCAGACTCTGGTACAGGTGTTGATGTGATTTTTCTCGACTTCGCAAAGGCGCTCGACCGGTTAAACCATGACATTCTGCTCTACAAACTCCAGAACTTTGGCATTGGTGATCCTCTCCTAGGATGGATCAGATTTCTTCGACACCGGCACTTGAAAGTACGAACGCGTGAATCATTGTCAGATCTAATCCAAGTTGAATGCGGAGTACAACATAAATCGGTACTAGGGCGGTGGTTATTTTTAACGTATATCAACAACAGCACACCTCATAAGCTCAAACTGTCTGCTTTATGCCGAAGAAATCAAATTGTGGAGAGCGATCATAAAACCAGATAAAATCACAGTACTAGAAGCTGACCAAGATAAAATATACGCGTGGTCAATCCAGAATGTACTTGATTCAATGTGGACAAATGTAGAGTGCTGCACATACGGAACCAGCTGGCGTGCTCCTACAATCAGGAGCTTCAGACGTTTTCTGACGAGAACGATTTGGGAGTGTTGCTCAAGGTCGACCTTGGATGTTCGAATCAGGCTGATACCGAGTCAAGGAGGGGCATCCAACACCTAGACATGCTGAAGCGTGCATATGGACAATTCGACCCATCAATTTTTCCACAACTTCTCGGCTCATACATAACGTTCACATGTGGAGTACGCAGCCATGGCTGAAGAGAGATCTCCCCGACTTGGAGATACCAAAAGGCCAGGCAATCAAAATGTCGAGGGTTTGTATAAGTGGCCGCATAATCGAAGGCTTCGAGTGTTCGGGATCTCCAGCGGACAATATGGGCAATTGCGCGAGGACCTAATTTTGACATACCAGGTGTTGAGAAATACCAAACATACGTGCCGCCATTTGCTAGAGCTCAGTTACAACAGTAATTTGAGAGGTCACCATTTCAAGCTGGCAGAGCAGTACAGCCGTTTGGAATGCCGTGGGAATTTCTTTTCCGCACGCATTTACAAAAGGTGGAATGCCCTACCGAAAACTGTCATTTGTGCTCCCACGCTGGAAGAGTTCCAAACCCGAGTTGACCGTGCACTCATATCGCTGCACTATCTCGCAAAACTCACTACCAGTGGATAAACACCAGGGACCGGTCAACTCCCAAAATACGTTTCGCCCTTTTTTTTACCTCCCTTATATATTCACCAGCATGCGATACGACTTGTTACCAACGCCTCGTTTGTTGTCATTCCTTATGGATTACAATGGATTTACAGTTTATACTAAGTATACCGCAGTGAGTCCTCTGGTGTGAATCTAATTTTGCTAACAATTCTACTATATTTTGAACTTTCACCAAAATTATCCTACGGGACTTGTTAAGCTTTAGTATTTGTACTCGTATAAAACCACTGTTCCATAATGCCCAGCGTGGGTACAAGAAACAAGATCTTGGTGGTAAGCAAAGTGAGAACTATACATGCAGTCTGGGTGTGAAAGTGCAGTGCAGCGTGGAGATAAAACACACCTGTCCTCGGTACTTATTCATGATCAATTCCAAAGCGGCCTGGTGTTCGTCCAAAGAGTTATGGAGAGCCCGATTTTCAATTTGCAGTTGTTCCAGTTGTTTGTTCTCGGCAGCCAAACACAGAATCAGTTGGCCTCTGGGATGCATAGACAGCTTATCAGACAGTTCACCGAAACTTAGCATTTCTTCTTGATACTGTAAAAAAGACAGTTGATAAGGTAGTAAACGGGGAAAGAGTTAACCAGAGCACAACGAACACTAGTTCTCACTGCTGGCAACACTGTGGGTAAAGGATAGGGGAAAAATAGGCTAAATCAGAACAATGTCGCAACCGGGAGAACAATCTCAGCGAAGCAAAGCTACAGTGAGAAAGAAATCACCGATAATGATCGACTAAAGGAGTGTAACCATGTTGCTCAATGGTTTATGGTCGGTGAAAAAGCACGTTCCTACGGACGCAGTGTAACACGACAAAATGACACCACAGGAGGCCAGTATAAGATCCTTTAAAGCCAATATGATCAATGACCTCGAGGCAGATGATAATGTCCCATCGAATGAGCAGGGGCACAACAAAACTATGGAGAGCAAAATGAAGCGTTAGGTATAGATGGCATAGAGAATAAAACTAAATGCTTGTGTATTTTTCGAAAGTTATTTTTCATTATATTCAAGTCCATATAAGCGACTGCGCAGACTTTTCTTATTTATTACTGTTGCGCGCTATCGCTTCAAGTGTTTCGAGCCAGCGGTGTTCTTCAGTCTTGATCACAAACGCAAGCGGCCGAGAATAGCCAAACTGGATGCCAGCGCGTTGACGTTCTGTCCCCATCTGGGAGGCTGACCGCCGCGCGATTTCTTCCACTGTGGTCCTGTGTGATCGAACAGGTTGCGTGAAGTGGTAATCGCTAGCGCAGCATGCGTAGAATGTGACAAAGCTATGCCAATTGGCGCACGCATATGTGCATATTGAGAGGAAGGCGCTATTAGCTAAGATGCCTCGTCATGAACGTGGTGTGCCTATCACAAACCAATTATCCTCCGTAAACATCTGTTACCAAGGACCGAAACCAAACATATATCGTTAGCATGAATTGACCAGGAATCGCTTCCATGCAATAGCACTGCCCGAACAGAAGCGCTGTAGACCCTACCTATTGCGGAGAGTAAAAGGCTCCGACGACACCAAAGATGCCGCAAATTGGTGTATGATGACCAAGCGCTGATAATTGGAAAAGAAATCTCTCTTCAAATGGTGTCATTCGAAGAAACGTAGCTCCTAAGGTAGACAGAGACGTCTATTTCTTCAAACTCCGCACCTTCAAGAGTGAGCACTGGAGCGGGGTGTTGCATTTCGAAGGGGTAAAAATCATGCTATAAGTAGTTGCTACAATCGTCAGGGAATTCGAAATAAGTTGGGGGAACTCAATAGCCTAGTGATCATGGCGATAGCCGCCAAGCACTATGCCCCGAGTTCCACTCCTAGCTCAGCTATCTCTACCTGATGAGTCTAAACAAAGACGAAACCGTCGGTCGTGGAGTGCAGGGAGAGCAGAGAGCCACACCGAAGCCCTCCACTTCGGTGACGGTCCCAGTGACCGTATTGGCAGAGGCTGACTTCAAAGTCAACCGCCGCTACTAGTGAGATTGCGCGTCGCAATCCAAAAAAAACGAAAATCTACTTCTAACCGCTGTGTCAAACACTGCTCGTGGAACTCAGTAGCTTAGTGGTCATGGCGATAGTTGCCAAGCACTATGCGCCGAGTCCCACTCCCAGCTCGGCTATCTCTACCTGATGAGTCTAAACAAAGACGAAACCGTCGGTCGTGGAGTGCAGGGATAAGAGAGAGCCACACCGAAACCCTTCACTTCGGTGACGGTCCCAGTGACCGTATTGACAGAGGCTGACTTCAAAGTCAACCGCCGCTACTAGTGAGATTGCGCGTCGCAATCCAAAAAAAAACGAAAATCTACTTCTAACCGCTGTGTCAAACACTGCTCGCGGAACTCAATAGCTTAGTGATCATGGCGATAGCCGCCAAGCACTATGCCCCGAGTTCCACTCCCGGTTCGGCTATCTCTACCTGATGAGTCTAAACAAAGACGAAACCGTCGGTCGTGGAGTGCAGGGATAGGAGAGAGCCACACCGAAATCCTCCAAGTTGGGGGGTCGTCACCGAGCATAGTTCAAGTCAATCGCGCGAGTGAATGGAAGAAGCTCTACGTCAGAACCCTCTAGACTTTTCAGAGTATCCATAGGACATCTTTAACGGTTAAATTTAACCGAAACGAGGAAATAAGGCAGATGACGGCGAAAAGCGAAGAGAGCATACCGTAAGCTCTCGCCCTACCGGACACTGTGGCGTAAGGCTCAAAGGAGGATGACACGTGCTTCGAGTACATCGTTCGTACGTAGGCAGCGCCATAAAATAAGACGATTCGTCGAATCAAACGCAGCACGGATAAACAAAAAAACGACAGGGGTAGCTGGTAGTAAAGGTAATGATGCACAAATGTTGGCAGAGGGCGGATATATGATCCACACAATCTCAGCCGTGGTGGAAACAAACTTGTTCTTCACTACAGTCTAGGTTCCGAATGGTGGTTAGTCTGTGGAGCAGAATCGACACCGGCAGTTTGGATGCAACCGAAGTTAGATTGATTTAAAGGGCCAGAGAAGACAGGGTTGATCATCGAGTAAACCCAAGAGAATGGGATTCTTCCACATTAAATCTTGGACAAAAGGGCTATAAACTAGTTGACAATTACTTCGTCACCGTACTTGAACAGTTCCGGAGAAATTCTGTCTGGGCCAGCAGCTTTGAATTGCTTCAAGTGACACCGGTCAAAGCAGATCTCCGCTTCGGCGGATGATTCTAGCGAAACATTCCAGGCAAACGACTAGGTAAATTGGGTAGACACCTTCACAGTGACGCCGCAGCCTATCGCGGTGCGATGGCCTGCATGCCTCAATAGTCTATTGAGTTGTGCTGGTTGGTGCTTCTTACACCTCCACATCCATTCACACAAGAGTGGTGCATGGTTAGAGGCCAGATAAATCCAGTCTCCTGGATCTCCAGATTGCTAGCTAAAGTGAGGGTGGCGTCTTAATCCTCAAAACGAAATCTCTGTAGCACAACGTCAAACTCCTGCTGTTTTGCGACCAGGTTTTTGAACCAAACGCCTTAGTTGGGAACCTTAATCCTTCTCCTCTCTAGGTCTTGGGAACCAGACAGTATCCTGTTCAAGCAATAAAATGAATCTCTCTTCAAACGATTTCTTGGTGCTCTGGCTATCGCAGAGGATAACTAACGACGCCCTAACTGCGGCATCGAACAGGATGGATAGGGGTCAGGATGCAATTGCTCAGGCCTACGCTTCTTATTATCCCCCGTATAGTGCTTCTTCAACTGTATAAATAATTGACTTATGCTTGAGAGTACGAGGCACGGCAGTAAAGGCATAATCATAGCAATGCAAACACGTATGATCAGTAAGTGCACACAAACAATACAAGTTAACCAGTAACATGCTGGATTTTTGTGTGCATGCATTTGCGTAATTGTCTTTGTTGCCAACAAATGAAGAGTTGGCGTATGATGGAAGTTGGCAAACGACAGAAGTAGTAATAGAGAAAACGTTTTCATCATAATTCTGTTTCAATACGGGTTATTTCAGATAATATATATATGTATATATATATACCATTTTCACTTTAAACTGGACATTTTTCAAACCAAATTGGACATTTTGCAAACCAAAGTGGACATTTTGCAAACCAAAGTGGACATTTTGCAAACCAAACTGGACATTTTGCAAACCACATTGGACATTTTGCAAACCAAACTGGACATTTTGCAAACCAAAGTGGACATTTTGCAAAACAAATTGGACAGTTTGCAATCCAAGTAGCAACTGGCCAATTTGTTTGTAAGAAACGAGCAGTAAGACTGCTGAATGATGTTCAGCATATACATTGTGATGACGCTAATACACCGGCATTGTGTAAGCAGCGGGCTACACTGTAAAACATTTGCTTGATCGTGAGCAGCGACCGAAGTTCTGAACTACACTCCCCTCTCCCCATTGACATTCGCCTAGTTGGTGTGCAGTGCCCATACGCATCAACCTGTGTAGGTGTGTGACAGTTGGAAAATCGGACTTCCGAATCGTAATTGTGTATCAATCATTTTGTGAGTGGATTGCGATGCGCAATCTCAATGTGCACCGTTATTCTCATTAGAGAGAACCTTATCCGATTCGGTCAATGGGACCATGTCGGATGAAGCAGGTAGGCGGTGTCCCAGCTTCGCCCGTCTCTCTATTAGCTTTCGCAACTGCCACGTTATTGTATCAGCGTAGGCTGTAATGACCCCCAGCAAAACCAGTCTAGAGCTATAGCCTATTGTTGCAACATATCAACTACTGAGGAGTGGGCCGATTACACGATATTCAGGCCACATTGTGGTCACGATAATGTAACCGAACTGCGTACGTAGCGGGTGATTGTGTAAGCCCTTCTCTTGACATGAGTGCCGTTCGCCTCGGTCAAAATCGGTGACCTATTTTCCCCTACACCCCCCCCCCCATAGGAATTCGTGTGTTTTGTCTGGGTGTGTGGACCGACCTATGCAGCGGTACCACTATTGGAGCCGAGCATACGATAATGGTTCCACTCAACCCAACTTAGCTTTATTAGCTCCGTGCCGCACGAAACGACCAAAATGAGTGACGAACAACAGGAGAGCTGGTGTCCGACGCGACGGCACTGCAGGCGAACATCATTTGCGCAAAGAGAAATTCTCACAAAACTTGTGCTGGTCGACGGCAAAACTACTCGGGAAGCCGCTGAAGTCGCCGGTGTTAACGCGAGTACGGCAAGGAACATCATTAATGCCTACAAGCGAGAAGGCTCAAATACACAGCGCACCTGCGGTGGAAACAATAGGGAGAAGCTGACTCCCAATGTATTGCAGCGTGTCGAAGAAGCGGTTGAACGGCACTCTGAGGACACGTTGGTGCAGCTGCAGATGCGCCTGAGAGAGAATGGGATAAACCTATCAGTATCCTCTGTCTCCAATACCCTCAGAAGACTAAAGATAAATCTCAAAAAGTGTCATTACGAGCTCGACCGAGTCAACGGTGCCACGACAATCGCTAGCTGACAGGCGTACACTCTCGAGTTCTCGGCACAT